TAAACCAATAAAGAGCTATCAGTTATATAAAAATGTCTTCTTAATTTGCTACAAAGCTGTAATCATTCATTAAGTGAGTAAATATTTACTAAACACTATTATTTGGTAGGTGCTAAGAGTGAAAATATCCTAATCCTGTTTTTACAGATCTTGGTCTAGTAGCCCAGGTCATATACAAATAAACAATTCAGTTGCAACACTGAGTACTGAGTTACTCTGTAGTGGAAATGTATACTAAGAACAWTTGAAACAATGAGTAATTAATTGATTATGCTTAGAGGGACTAGGGAACTTCTTTCTTTTGTGTGTGCACATGTGGGGGATTGAAGCCAGGCCCTTGAGCATGCTAAGCAGGCTCTACCACTGAGCCACATCCCCAGTCCCAAATGGARAATTTCTTGATGTTCACAAACAAGTGGGAAAAAAAAAAAAAACACAAACTAATTTCCCAAGCAAAGCTTCCCTAATCTCTTAATGAACAAAAATTAAGTTCTTAGTGGCTTCCCAACATACCAGGACCACTCCCCTTAGGCTGCAACCACATAAAAACCCTTATGAATTTCATGCAGAGAAGACAGACTTTCAATTCTGGAAATTAAGCAGAGGTGTCCTTTGGGAGTAGTTGAGGTTTGGGTAATAAGATCTGTAAGACCTGTAGTCTGCTCCTGTACAACTTGACATTGTCTCTATTGGAGGAGGTCTTTGGAGCTGGAGCACCCTTTTTATATCTCTCTCTTTCTCTTTTCTTGTGGTGCTAGGGATTGACCCCAGGACCTTCCTCTGGCTAGGCAAGTGTTCTTCCATTGAGCTACATCCCAACCCTAACCCCCCACAAACACCTTTTATTTTTTTTCTTTCTATTTAAAAATTTTTATCTTGAGACAGGGCCTTGCTAAGCTGCCCAGGCTGGACTCTAACTTGCAACCTGCAGTCCTCCTACCTCAGCCTCCCTGGTGGCATGTGCCACAACATCCAGCTCACCTTTACTTATTTTTTTAATGTGTCTTTTTTTGTGAATAAATTAACTGCAGTTGTAACAAACCAGACAACGAAATGACAGAAGATCTCTCAGTGTAAGAGAAGGAGGTTTGGTGTGTGGGCTTGAAGGAAGACAGTCCTGGGTTCAGATTCAAAGTCTACTTAATGTTACACTGACAAATTAATTGTTTGCTCCTATCTTCAGTTTTCTCTTCTGTAAAATAGATTACCTGATAAAATGAGTATGAAGGTTAAATAGCACAATGCTTGAAAACTACCAAGACTGTGCTTGGCACTCCCACATGGGGACTGCTGTGATCCCCACAGGGTCATGCTGATGGTGGTGGTGATAAGATGGGTCATGATGAGATGATACGCTTTGTCTTATTGTTACCATTACTATCATAGTRCTTCAATAACAGAAGTAATGTTTTCTTTTTCTAGACACCTCCAAAAGAAACATTTATAATTGCGGATGTTCCGTCACTCTCAAGCAGTTCTCCAGAGCAGAAGCAGTGCCCTTCATCAACCTTTCGTCCTTCCACCTCTTTAAGAAAGAAGAATAACCTAGGGGAGAAAGAGCTGCCCCCTTGGAGGTCCTCTGATAAGCATCCAACTGATATCATTCGGTTTAACTACCTGGACAACTGCAACCCCCTCCAGCCAGGGCAAGGGTAAGGAACTCTCCTTGGTACTTGGGTATTTTAAAAGATGAGAATAGAACTTACTGTGAAATACCAAAGCTTTCCRATACATTGGAGCAAGAGGTCATTGGAAAAGTAAACTATCCGTTGTTTGCACATTTGCCCTGTTCATGGTGGTTCTTTGCACCTTGTTGCTGTAACAACCYCACCCTGCAGCCTTTTCATGTTTCAATGTTAAATTGCAAGCCAGCACCTTGGGGCGCATTCTAGCCTCCCCCTTCTCACCCTGGTATTTCCCTTCTGCAACAGCCAGTGGGTAAATGAGAGGGAGGTACTCATGTATGTAACACAAGGTAAACTGAGTCAGCTTGGTTGTAATCTCTGCGACTCAGGAGGCAGAGGCAGAGGCAGGAGGATGGCAAGTTCTAGGCCTACCTGAGCAATTTAGCGACACCCTGTCTCAAAATAAAAAATAGTAAAAGGGGATGGAGGTGTCTGTCCATTGCCACATATACACACACAAAAACAAAAGTTAGAAAATTTTTTTGAAAATTAAGTGGCAGGAAATATTCGGGCAAAGGCAGTGTTTATTTGTTTATTTATGTTTGGTCCTTGGGATTGAACCTGGGGCACTCAAACACTGAGCCACACCCTCAGCCCTTTTTTATTTTGAGGCAAGGTCTCACTGAGTTGCTTAGAGCCTCACTAAGTTGCTGAGGCTCGCTCTGAACTGGTGATCCTTGTGTCTCAGCCTCCCAAACCCTGGGATTATAGGTGTGCACCATTGCAATAATACACAAGTAGAGAGAAGAGAAAACAAACCCCTGCAACCAATGTCTAGCATGAGCAGTTTTCAACTCTGGTGCACTCTGGTTTCACTTGTTCCTTGCCCACTCTGCTCCTCCCATGGGTTATTTTTGAGACAAATCTTAGGTCATATGGTTTCATCCATCCTGTTATAGAAATMAGGCCTTTTGTCCTGTAGAGCTTCTCACATTCTGGGTTTTGGGGATTTCACTACCACTGTGCTACTTAACGTGTCCTCTGTCCTCTGTGGTTGGCCATGCAGATGGTCAGGAGTGTAACTTCCCATTCTTGTGTTGTACCCGGTGCAGAGTGACATTGGTCATGTATTCACACATGAACATGGGAAAGTGATGTCATTCTACTGTCTTTCCCATTCCCATCTCTCTCCCTTCCCCGACTCTGCCCTGACCAATCGGTGAACACCCCCCCACCCCGCCTATGGTGAGTCAGCATCTGCATAATCAGAGAGAACATCTGTCCTTTGTCAACTCTGCTCTTATAACCTAAAAACAGGCATAGACCATACGAAAAAAAGTAGCATGGCTATGTGCCAATAAAACTTTATTTACAGAAATGGGAAGCAGACTGGATTTGACCTGTGGGCTGCGGTTTGACAACCTCTGCTTCATATGTGTGGTACTTTTAGAAACCAGTGCTAATAATAATACCAACAGTGTGATTACTGAAAACGGTTTATGATTTCCTTGCCTGTGTTTTTGTCTTTAGTATACACTCAACTAAGAATATTCAGACAGATGACTGTGTTAAAGTCCCATGAAATAACTCTGTGTGTGTGGTAATGCCATCGACCTCGTGGGCAAGATCATTTGTTTCTTTTTTTTTTTTTTATAAATCTTAGGGATTTTTTTTTCCCTTCACTTTTGCTCATAAATTTGAGAAAAATTTAGATGGTTCCARCCTTAAATATGCAAAATAAGATATAAATGACATAGTTTAGTTTCTTTCCCTGTTTTCCATATTCCCTGTTCCTGATCAGTTGACGTGAGAATCCTACTTATAGCTAAACATTTTTTAAAAATTTTATAGTTTGATTCTTCCATTAAAAAAATACAAGCAAAATAATAATAATAATAATAATAATAATAATAATAATAACTTTAAAAATAGAGGCTGGGGCTGTAGTTTAGTGGCAGAGTCACTGAGTGGCAGAGTCCTTGCCTAGCATGTGTGAGGCCCTGTTAGATCCTCAGCAGCACCACATTAAAATAAATAGAATAAAAGTATTCTGTCCATCTACATCAACAACAACAAATTTTCTTTAATCTTAAAAAATAAAAAGCATAATAAGCAAATAGATAACATACACACATATTTTCATATATCTCCTTTCTGAAATGAATGGTAGCACACAATACATTCACCTTTCTTTTTTTTTTTTAATTTTTGTTTTTTAGTTGTTGATAGACCTTTATTTTATTTATTTATATACAGTACTGAGAAACCAAACCCAGCGCCCCACACATACCAGGCAAGTGTGCTACCACTAAGCCACAGCCACAGCCCTGACATCCACCTTTCTTTATTCACTTTTCTTTCTTCAGGTAACACTGTACCCTGGCAGTCATTCTACAGTTGTATATAGAAATATTCTGCTTCCGTTTGATAGCTCATAGTACTCCATTGTGTGGGTATGCCCATGTTCATTCACCCCCTTCTCTGTTGATAGACGTGTGGCTTGCTTCCAGTGGAGTGCAGACAACCTTTGAAATCTCAGGGACAACGAAATCAAATAGCTCTATGGACCGCCAGAGTTTTAAAATGTTAATTTATCATGTTTCCACTGCTTTCCAATTTACAGAAGAAAGAAAAGAAATGAAATGATCCCAGAATTCAGCCGACAGTCACAGGATAAGAAAAATAAATTGCAGGACAGAGCTAGGCCAAGAAAAGCACATTTCCTGGTAAGTATTGCTTAGAAAAGATTCACCGCCACAATGTTATGAAAATTGCTGGATTCTAATCCTGTCTGTGACATTGAATTTGTTTTTAAGTCAGAATTGTCAGGGGGTTGTTTCCATCCTGGTCTCTGACACAAACCTACATTCTAGCTATTAGACCTTGAAGATATATGTAATCTTTCTGAGTTTCTATCTTCTCATCTGTTTTTTTTGTTTTTTATTTAGGGAGGCTGATGCGTGTGAAAATGCTTTGCAAAATGTGCAGGAGTGTATTATTGTTGGTCCTTTCTTCTGCCATGAGTTCTTGGGGGCAGGGAGCAGGAGGCTACCAGAAATTGCTGCTTTCTAGAGTGAAAGTCCCCTGACCTGAGAGAAAGCTATGCTCTACATAGCTCTCCTGCTGCCAGCAGGGCTTGGTTATGGAGGTACATTTAAAGTTACTCCTCTAGCCACTCCGGAGGCCAAGGCAGGGGGGTCTTGAGTTCTAAGCCAGTCTACAGTTGAGTGAGAACCTGTCTCAAAATAAAATAAAAAGAACTAGTTCTGGGAGTGGCACATGCCTATAATCCCAGAGACTCCAGAGTCTGAGGCAGGAGCATCACAAATTCAAGGCCAGCCTCAGCAAYTTAGGGAAGCCCTTAGCAACTTAGCAAGACCTGTCTCAAAAAATAAAGAGGGCTGGGGATGTAGCTCAGTGGTTAAGGGCCCCTGGGTTCAATCCCTTGTAACCACTCCCATCGCTGGCGAAATAGAACTGATGAAGTAGCTCAAAGATAGAATGCTTTTGGGTTTGATCCTCCCAGTATATACATAAATAAAATAACTCCAGAAAAATAAGTTAATAAGTTTTGTTTTCTCTCTAAAGAAAAAAAATAGCTAATCGACTACCTAATCAAGTCAGCAATTGTGATTAAGGGGTATGATTGATTCACTGCAGACCTTCCCAAACTGCAGTTCTGAACCCTAATGGATTCCTTTTAGCACATCATAAGAGTTTTTGGAGCAAAGTAGAAGGAAGCATGCAATAAGCATGGAATAAAAAGTTCTCATACAGTAGTTAAGATTTAGGGAAAAGCAGAGAATGCACACTCAAGGAAAATCAATATAAAGTGATGTCAGTGTGGAGACTAGTATGCATGTACTCATGAATAAATCTCTTTTAGAGCTCTGCTTTAAAGCCCTATTACTTTTTGTTTAAATGTTTTTTAAGTATTATGTTAAAAAAATAAGAGAGAGAGAGAGAGAGAGAACTTCTTAAAATATATCAGTCTGTATTCTGAAGGGCCCATTTTGTTGGACTGGGGGAACCTTATCACAGATAGGATGCCCAAGGGATTTGGGAAGTTAGAGCAAAGCAATAAAATTATCGATGAAACCATTAATTGAGAAAAATAACTTTATGAGGCTTATCACACAGGCCATTACAAAGCACTTCTGCCTGGCCTCCACCCCGTTAAACACAGRGCAGGAGACAAGTCCAGGAAAACAGAATGTGAAGGACAATAAGAGTTGATGGTGGGCCTGGGGTGGTGGCTCAGTGGTAGAGCGCTTGCCTAGCATGCATGAGGCACTGGGTTCGATMCTCAGCACCACATAAATGTAAAATAAAGATATTGTGTCCACCTAAAACTAAAAAATAAATATATCTTTTTAAAGTTGATGGTGATGCATGCYTACAAATCATCAATCAGCACAGACAAACCATTCTCCTGCTTCAAGAATAAACACCAAAGGCCAACCAGAAGCCATCCCCRGGGGCTCTTGACATTAACCCTCTGTCAAGCACTAGCAGATTGCTTAAGTTAAAATGTTCATATAAATTAAAAAGTGAAAAGTTGTGCTAATGAGACTGAAAAGGAAACCAGGGTAAATGAAACCAAGAGAGAGAGAACAATCTGCTGTTCGTAAAKGAAGTGCATGATTGTATCCATCTACTTGTTTTGTTTTTGTAAATATGCTAATTTTAACACCATGATATATTTAGGAGTGTTGATAAAGAGCATAAGACAGAATGGAATCCCCCAGAAGCACGCCATGATCTTGGGCTCATGTCTGTGCCACGCTTGCCTGTGACAAGTCTCCTGTTCAGGCTGCCGGGCTGCATGTGGTTCAGCCCCTCCTCCACAGGGTGGCCTCGGGTCCCCACCAAGGCTGCAGAGCTCCAAGGAGACAAGCAGCCTGGGCCAGGCAAGAGGACTGTGCAATAAGGAAATGCTRCCTGTGGGCCTGGGGCAAGAGGAAAGGGGCATTGAGGAAATCCAGCTGGGGTCCTAAGGACACCAGGGAGTAGAGTGTGGAGGCCACTCACTGTGGTGGACACAGCCCAGGTGTGAGTCCAATGGAGAAGCTCATGAATGTGATAGAAGGCTCCCACAGAATTGTGACAGGTTTATGGAGGAAGATCTCAGGAGGAACTAGAGAAACGGCTGTGCTAAAGGCAGGGATGAGAGTGACGTGTCCCCAAGCCCTGGCCAGGAGATTATCTRAGATCAGACACTTGAAGACTCCTTGCACCTGTCATGGGAAAAAGGTGTGTGTGATAGGTGGAGAAGGTAAGGCTTTGTCAAATGGAAAGGTCTGGAAGAGAAGAAAGCACCCAAGCATAAAAGAGTACAAAGAATATTCCTTAAGCCACCTCCCCGGGGCCACAGCTGTCATCCTCCCTTTTCGCCTATCATTACTTACAGCCTGCAGATAGGAGGGTCTGTCTAAAAGGAAATGCCCTCAGGGAAACGGTTTCCWGTGTGCACACACTGCTGTGAGCTTGCATGGAGCACATTATTTAATAGGTGTGAGTTTGAAAGGGCAGCTGATTTTCTCTTCTGCTCTCAATTCTAGACAAGATCCCCAGGGGCTGCGGTGCTTACAACCGCCCCACCTAACCACTTTTTTGTGTGAATGATTGGCAAAAGATGGGAATAAAGCTTAGATTGGATTGCTAATGCTTTTGGATTTCTAAGACTTCTTATGAAAGTTATATAATCTGCACAAATATGAGTTCTGGTAATACAATTTCATACAAAACARGACAATTAAAAAGGAGTACTATCTTCTTTTAAACTTCAAAGATTTCAGTCTTGTGTAATGACACACAATGCACAGGCCAATTTTTTAAAATCTTAACAGCTGGCTCCATAGTTCCACTTATGGAAGGAGGGAACTGTCTCCTTGGGGGAGGACTTTGATGAGCTTGCAGGGAGCCTGAGCCCTTGATAGCAAGGTCCAGGTCTCTGCAGGGGAAGATTTTGTAGTTTGTTGTTTCTGCTCAGGGAAAGGAAGGAGGAGGAGAGGCAGTGGGGAGGAAAGAGGTAAAAGGAGAAGAGAGGGAGAGAAGCTGGTTAGGCAGGGGAAGGGGCCAGGACAGTAGTGACTCAACCAGTTCCAAATGAGTTTGTCTGTCATTACTGGAATGTTAACACCCCCTTACCTCCTTATAGGGAATTCTTCTGGTTTACACATGGACATGAAAACCAAAGCCCCTTGGGACAAGTCAGAGACCCAGGAGGTGGGCTCTGGGTTTCCTGGGTCCAGGACCAGATCACACCTTGCTTTGCTTCTTTGGTTCTTTCCATGTCAAATATAAAATCAAGAATCTTTTGTCTCACACTGGACTTTTCCTTGGGAGTTAGAAGCCTGCACTTTCTGGGTCCTGATTTGACTGTGGCTTTCAGAAAGCTTGCTGCTTCTCAGCCTTGTAAACCTCCGACCCAAATAACAAAAGCCTTTAATTGCCTGCTTACTTTAATTGCCTTAGATAAGACAGTATCTTTTCCTGGGTGCTGCTAATTCCAGCCTCTGAAATTACCTTCTTCACCTCTTTCCAGGATCACTTTACTCTAGGTGTTTTGATTTCTTTTTTTTTTTTTTTTAATGCTTCAATTCAGGCTCTCTCGGTCTTTTTTTCCTCACTGGTTCAAATAGGAGAAAAAAGGAATGAATTCTAAAGTGCTTCCTGGATCATGTGGTACAAAGAGTGGGGAACCCAGAGCCTGTCTGGACTCTACTGCTAACTAACTAGCAGTCACTCAACCTCCTGGAGTTTTCCTCTTCACAGTTATAAAATGAGAGTTCCAGTTACAACCCTTTAAAAGTCCATTCCAGTGGGGTACCGGGGCACACACCTGTAATMCCAGTGACTCAGGGGCTGAAGAGGAGGATAGTGAGTTCGAGGCCAGCCTCAGCAACTTAGCACAGGCCCTGTCTCAAAATTTTAAAAAATAAGAAGGGTTGGGGATRTAGCTCAGTGGTAGAGCACCCCTGGGTTCAACTCCAGTACTGCAAACATAAACAAATAAATAAATATAAAAATAAATAAAGTCCATCTCAGGCTTAAGGCTGGGCTTGTGAATCCCCTAGGTCCCCACTGTGTTCACTCCTCCCTCTCTCTACCTGGAGRACTCCACTGTGATCAAAGTGACTTTCCATAGAATCCTAAAGACAGTTCATCCCCTTTGTGAATCCTAATTTTAAGCCAATAACAATTATTGTCTGTCTCCCATCTCTTTCTTTGAACCTTAGAGAATATGATTAGCTAAAACCAAAGGATTTACCAGAATTTTTACAGTAATTTAAAAAAAAATTTTTTTTTTCAGTTGTAGATGGACACAATAATACCTTTTTTTGTATGTGGTGCTGAGGATCRAACCTAGTGCCTCACATGTGCAAGGCGCATACTCTACCACTGAGCTACAACCCCAGCCCCAATGCAGCAATTTTCTTGCAGGTAATCCTGYATACGCTTTTTCAATATCTGTTCCACATCCCTGGTGTTTGTTGTGTATCTGGTTTGGATGTGCAGAGCTAAAAACATCCATAGGAGAGATTTTAAATTATTTCAACCAATTGATGAAACTCCCAGGAATTCCATTTGGAAGGAAGAATAAAAAAGAATATGGGCTTTGCATTCAGACAGACTGGGACCTTTTGTTAAACAAAGCAACTTTGGATAGTTATGTAACCTCCTTAAACCTCAGTTTCTTCATCTATGAAATGGGAGTAATGAT